TTTTTTTTTTTTTTTTTTTTTTTTTTTACTTCCATTGCAAAAACAATGATAGAGAGGCCAGGATCCTCACAATTCTACCCGGCGTAGCGAAACTTCCATCTCACCACCGAACAGCGAATCTGCAACGAATCTTCAACGAGACTTCAGAGCGCATTCCCTAGTATCAACCACCGTGCGCGCACCACACACACCCGCTGAACAGCCATGGCGGCCTGAAGTTACCCTGAAGTTACCCTGAAGTTACGTGAAGTTACCCCGAAGTTACCTGAAGTTACCCTGAAGTTACCCTGAAAATTCCCTGAAGTTACCCTGAAGAGTCTATGCCCGGCGACACACCGGCTGAAGAACAGCCGTGGCGGCCAGATCATTAATAACAGGGACATACCCGCTGAAGTGTCCCTGAAGTTTCCCTGAAGTTACCCTGAAGATTCTATGGCCGGCGACACACCAGCTGGCCCAGCGATGGCGCCCAGATCATTAACCGGGACAAACGATGAAGACGATGGCGATGAAGAGGATGATGTCGATGCTGATGAGGAGGAGGAGGAGGAGGAGGAGGTGAACAGTCCAAGCTTTTTTTTTTCCCTGACTGAAAAAAAAAACAAAAAAAAGAGGACGTTATGTATAGACTGACGGGCCTTAGCTGATAACCATACTGACCTGACTTCGAATCCAAATGGAACTAGATATGTGAGATTATACATATATATATATATATCGTCAAATAGAAATATATATATATATATCGTCACAAGCAGAACTGCCCGGTAAACCGTAGGCAGAGAGAGAGAACTGCCCGGTAAACCGTAGGCAGAGAGAGAGAAGAGGACAACAAACGAGGGGATATATATATATATATCGTCATATATATATGTTCTGAATTACATATAGCTGGGGCTGGCCGGTTCCACGCTGTTTTTTTTCCAAAAAAAACATCTAAAGCAGGGCCCAATGCCCAAGGGGCTCGCTCCACCACTCTCGAAATGTGCAAGATCTTCCGCTAGAACAAAGAAAGATACATGGCCATGATTTTTGTCTTCTGTGCATTTCCAGAGTCGTGGAGCGACGCCCAACGGGGGTCCGTCGGGTTGTCTGAAAAGAGGATCGGATCGACTGCCTGAATCTGGACTTGTTTGTAGAGAGGTGCAGGAAATCGTGATTAAACTGCTTTTCTGCATCTATGCATAAAACACATCCAGATTCAGGCATTCGATCCGATCCTCTTTGCGAGTGGGACCACGGCCCAGGAGCGAGATCCCACTACGGTGTGTGACTGTCAGGCATCGTGGATTTGGCAAGAAATCAGGGGTAGCCTGTTTTTGTGAATGAAGCCC